TTCATTATCGACAAGCGATGGCTATCCTACCCAAACAGAAATCACTACTATAGTGTGTGTTTCATTATCGTCAAGCGATGGCTATCCTACCTAAACAGAATTCACTACGATAGTGTGTGTTTCATTATCGACAAACGATAGCTATCCTACCTTAACAGAAATCACTACGGTAGCGTCTCTGGGCGTTGGTGCACAATCACGATCATCATCATCATCTTCACGGAGTACCAGATCTGAAACAGACATCGGCGATCATGGTTCGCCCAAAGATTCTCTACTACACGGTCTTTGGTCGAACGCTCTAAAACCACAGCAAACAAACCTATAGTATTATTATATTGGTCTTTCCCCAGTCCCGTCTGTTACGATTGTCCACCTACGTTGCTCTGGGTGTACCTCTACTGTGGAGAATAGATAGACTCTACGTCTTATACACTACAGATTTTAGTTTAGTTTTAGTAAATGTTTTACGGCACTTGCAACAGAGGTGTTACAAGAGAGTAACAAACAAAAAAAGAAGGAGGGGAGATAAAGACGATATAGCTTTGATAGGAAAGAAGAAGCAAACCCCACCAGAGCACCCGCCAAAAAACCCACTATAGATTTTAGTTCGACTTCCGGGTAGGGAACTTCATTTTATTAAGTCATTCTCTTTCCCTATCGACAAACGATGGCTATCCTACCCAAACAGAAATCACTACCATAGTGTCTGTTTCATTATCGACAAACGATGGCTATCCTACCTAAACAGAATTAACTCCATTCGAAGACTGGTAGAGCCATTCAAATTTCAAATGCTAGGTTTTTTTTCTCCAGAAAACGAATATTCGTATAATTTTTTCTCAACCTGTCTTAAAATTAGAGCGTATTATACATATATACATAACATTGAGGTAAATACAGACATATTTTGTCCTTGATGATCTGCTTGAAAGAGCGTTAAAAGGAGCCAACAAGAGTACTGAGTTAAAAATAAATTAAGCGAATGTTGCTACTGGACGTAATATAAGGAGAACAATTATTCGTACCGATATTCGAATAGCACAAATAATGACTTCGCTCTTCGAAGAGCCGAAGAAGCTTTGTTTCCTCAAAATCGCACAGCACCATCGGGCAGGCAGGAAGCAATAGGGGCGGGTTGACGCCTGGTGTAACACATGTCGTCACGTCAGCCACTTAGCACAACAGACATGTGCTACATATACCACGTCGCTGACATTCCGAGGGCATAGCGCGGCAATTTCTGTTTCATTATCGACAAACGATGGCTATCCTACC